GACTCTTGAGAGTGCCATGGACTGCAAGAAGATCAAACCTCTCCATTCTGAAGGAAATCAGCCCTGAGTGCTCACTGGAAGGTCAGATCCTGAAGCTGAGGCTCCAATACTTTGGCCACCTCATGAGAAGAGAAGACCCTGATGTTGGGAAAGATGGAGGGCACCAGGAGAAGGGGACGACAGAGGACGAGATGGTTGGACAGTGTTCTCGAAGCTACCAGCATGAGTTTGCCCAAACTGCGGGAGGCAGTGGAAGACAGAAGTGCCTGGTGTGCTCTGGTCCATGGGGTCACGAAGAGTCGGAAACGACTAAACGACTAAACAACAACAACAACAAGCTTCTGTGGATTAGTGCCCCACTTCACTGGATGTATGATGTGGATTCTAGCCCACAAAAGCTTATGGCATATTTATTCTATTCCCCTTTTCGGTGGCTCTTTGTTATTTTTGCTGCCATAAACAAACACGGCTATCTCTATGAAAACTGAACAATGACATGCCCAGTTTAGAGGTGTGTGTTCTGTAATTGTTGTTGTTGTTATATTTTAAATCACTTTAATCTGACATGCACCAGTGAGAAGGAACTTCTGACTTGTGGGCCAAATTAGGTGTGCCAAAATTCAGAATTTAGCTTGTGAAATGTTATGTTATGTTAAAAGGCGGGATATCGATTTTTAAAAAAATCCTCTGAGTCAGTATGCCTCTCTAAATTTCTGGATTGGAACTGCTGCACATTTAAGGACCAAGTTGTTAGGGTGCCTAGAGAAGAGATCCACATACATATATGAAAAAGGTAGCAGTAAAAAATAATGAAGAATGATGCAACTTGAGATCTGATCCAAATTCTGTCCTCTCTCTTTCGTGCAGATTTGCCTTAAGTGCAAGTCAAACAAGATTTCTAACACCTTCATCACCTATAGGGAATCAGGATAATAGGCTTGTAATGATGGCGAGGGCAACTTTTGATGGGGGGGGCATGGTGCAAAACAGAATGCTACCCTTTCTGATATCCAACGATCTGGAGGATTGAAAAACATAAAGATGGATGCATCAGGGGTGGGTTAGAGAGTCTAGGCTCTTCCCATCAAAGGTGTTGAGCATTCTGATCTGGAAAAATGATTGACACATTCCTTTTACTGAGGTTACTCCCATATCGAATCACAATATTATACGTTTGTCAAGTGATTGTCAAGTGATATAAACGGCACCAGAACCTAGTTGCAATGCCTGTCCCTCTGCCTTTGATATCCCGCTGGTGATGTTAAGCATTAGCAATATAGCAGCAGGAATTGTAGTATTAGTCATTCTATAAGCAAAGCTTACTAGGATGTTATTCATCCTATCAGTTCTTGTCATATTTGAGATTTAGAAATGAACGTGTTTCATTTTCATTGCAAGTACTCTACCATTTAACAGCCCTTTTACTTCCTTCAGAATAATAGGGCAGCATCTTGCCAAATAAGAATCCTCTGAGTGTGCCGTGCTTTTCCTAATTTCTTTATCGTGGAGCAAAGTAATAAATGACCTCCAATCTGTGGGATCTATTAAAATAAATAAAACCTAGAGGCATCTCCCCCAGTCAGTTGCCACCCAGATTATAAAATTCTATTCTTAAGGGAGGTTAAGTGTTTACCCAGCAGTGCACACATATCCCAGCTCCCTTATTAATTTGGCACTCAGCAACAGCACAAAATCTTTCCATATAGCTGCAGTGCCCACAAAGTGTTTGAGAGAGAAAATTGTGCCATACTAATCTTGTTAGGCTTTCTGATTCCATTGACAATGAAGTATTGACAATACCTCCCCCCCCCCGTAGTTTCAGTCATATTTATAAGGGAGACTATGAACTACCACATAGCCTTTGCCCTAATGCTGATGGCAACCAACTCTGTTTTCCATTCCACCAGGTGCTATGGTGTTTATTTAGTTTATCTCATCATCAAGCCTCCTGAAACTGAATCAAGGAAAAACTAAGGTAATAATGATCAGCCACAGGTCACGTTTATGCAATTCATGTGTGTGCATGCTCTCCTTGGGTCAGATAAAAGCATACCATGTACGAAGAGGAAGAGCCGATTGCTTCATTCATTTGGTAATCAAATCTGACCAGGAAGACCCTTGTTTACTTTGAAAGTGACCTAAAGGGGTAGCTTCAAAGAGGAAACTGATCACGGGGAAGGGGGGGGGAGGAAAACTGCTTTTAGTGATCAAAAGATTAATTACTTTGGAGTGGATGGTTAGTACAAACTAAATGAGAAACCACTAAAGCAGCTGAATGGAAACCCAAAGAGATGATGTTTGCTTTGAACTAAAAGTGGAGTAGATATTTTAAAAATGGATGCTATTCTACTGATTCAATCTGAGAGTGGTCTCTTTCAGAATTGGATGGTAGGATTAATGGCCTTTTAGCTGGTAGCCATCTAAGTAGCCCCAAGGAAACAGATGTTCAAAAATTATGGAGCACTGAGGTCTGCCTTTATACTCTGTTGGAGAAACTAGGAACACTTGCCCAGTGATGTAAATATTCCTTGAAGAAGGCTTGTGAAAATGTAGTCTATAGTTTAATATACTAACAGGCAATCCCAGAGATGCTTTCTTGGTAGTTAATCCTACTGAGTTTAGTGGGGCTCACTCCCAGGTAAGTGGGTACTGTCACACTTACATTCCCATAAGCCAGTGGGACACACTTCCATCCTCCATTGAGACAAGCAAGAAGCATTATTAGCGATCAAGGACTTATTCCTGTCAGGCAAAAATACTCAAGGAGGGTGGAAAACGGGGGTGGTGAGGCTGTGGTGCTGAGGGAGAGAGGGTGTGGAGAGATGTGCCACCTGGGGAGAGTCCTAATGGTCAGAAAGGGAGGAATACATTTGGACCTCAGGCCTGAGGTTGCCTGCTTCTGTCACGCCACATCTCCAGATACAAGTGAATGGGGACATGCAACAGATCCATAATGGCTGGCTGTACAGAATGGCATGGCCAGCCCTACCATTTGATAGAGTGAGGCAGGTGCTTTGAGCAATTGATTTCTTCTTGTTATTATTTTTGTAATGAAAGAACCCCAAATTTTTACTTTTCAATATATTATTGTATTTTTATTCCCGATGTGAGGGTCTTGTGGGGTGTTCTGTCCCAAGTGACAAAATAAATGGTTGGCATTGAGGACTATATATGCTTTGACCAGCTTAGAGGCAGCCAGATGTCTTGGGTTGAGCCAGCAGAATGAAGGCAAATATAGTGGTTGCCTGGAACATTTTTGTCATATTTGGGTCTCTGACAGATCAATTCTATGTGTGCTTACATAGATGTAAAACCCCACTGTGCTCAATGAGGCTCTCTCTCCCTCTCATCTTGCAGCCTTGATACAGGAGACCAGGGTCAATGCAATTCTCCTTAAGGCAGAAGAGTTAAATTAGATTATTATTGCATTTCTCTCCGAGCTTCGACTTTGTAATAAAATGCAAAGATTTTATTTTAAAACAAAGTTTTGTAAAATAGTGACTTAGTAGGAGATATCAAGCAAATCCACCGAGGTAGATTAGAGGCGAACAGATAAGAAAGCATTTACTGGGTTATTTGGAGAATATAGCCAATTTTGTAGGAAATGAAAACTAACAGGTTCTCATTTAAACATTAGGGATAAAAGTGCTATTATGAAAAATAATAATCTAAAATGTTTTAGAGACCACCAGGGAACCTTTTGCTATTCTCTCATTTAAGAAAGTAAGAAGAATTTTGCTGGATCGCGCTAATGTCCCACCGACTCCAACATTCTTTTCTTATAGTGGCCAACCAGGTGTCTATGGGGAGCCCAGAAGGAGGAAATGAGTGCAACAGCACTGTCCCCATTTGTGATTCCAAACAATTGGTAGGCAGATTCATTCAGCTTCTAGGAGTGTACATGTTGTGCACAGATGCACCTGAGTGTAGGTCTTCCTGCCGTGAGGTTCACTCCAGCTCACCTTTTGTCAAGGCTCTGTCAAGGCTTTGCAAAAGCTATTCCTCCCCCCAGTTGCAAGAGCAGAGAAAACAAGATACAGTGGTACCTCGGGTTACATACGCTTCAGGTTACAGACTCCACTAACCCAGAAATAGTACCTCGGGTTAAGAACTTTGCTTCAGGATGAGAACAGAAATCGCGTGATGGCAGCGGGAGGCCCTGTTAGCTAAAGTGGTACCTCAGGTTAAGAACAGTTTCAGGTTAAGAATGGACCTCCAGAACGAATTAAGTTCTTAACCCGAGGTACCACTGTAGAGCCCTTTTCAAATGAGGTTTATTCAATCCCAGTAACGAGAGGCAAAAGAACGCAACCAGCCTCAACAATGGCGTTGTTCCAAACTGGGCTCCTCCTCCCTCCTCCATAACAGCAGCATCTTCCCTTATGGTGGCCACTCATGGTCAAATGTCTTTGAGCCGTTTGTTCCTGTACTCCGCGTTCTGGGAGAAGCGGGATCAGAAATACTTTCCAGTGACAACGTGTCATCTGGCTGCCCTGCCGCAGTCCCGCCCCCCCCTTCTTCTCACACTTCCCAACTTTTCTGTTCTTCTGTCTCTGAGCTGTGACTTTCCTCAACCCCCTGCTGTAAATCAAGGCTGTCTCCCTCTTCTGCTGCAGCATCAGGAGAAGGGTGGGGAGGTGATCTTGTCCTCTTGAATCTGATCCCTGACACCTTTGTAAGGTTGGAAAATGACTCTGCTTTCTTAGGTGGCTCTTTCTGGCCAGATAGTCAAAGGAACTTTTTCTGGCTGGGAAGGCTGGAGGCCTTTCCATTCTAAAAAGAGATATTTTAGATGAGCGAATACAATGCCTTCTCTCCTCTCAGGAATGGAGCTCCAGGAACAGGGTGAGACAAAGCAACGGAGACGCCAGGAGGCAGGAACTGTACACAGTGTGCACTGATGGAGATTTACTGTTTCTCTGGAGCCAGCCACCTAAAGGGACAGGCGATTGTCATCACTAGGGCAGCCGCAGGGGCTTTGGTTGCTAATTATAAGCCAAGCTGGGATAGCTCAGTTGGTAGAACATGAGACTCTTAATCTCAGGATTGTGGGTTCAAGCCCCATGTTGGGTAAAAAATTCCTGGATTGCAAGGGGGGTTGGACTAGATGACCCCCGCGACCCCTAAAATTCTATGCCTCTGGCTCAGATATTGTTTTTTGCTGCTTCTCCACACTTGAGCAAGCTTTGGGATTTGCGGGGGCAGGGGTGGGGCGGGAAGAGGATATCTTTGTTTCAAACACTGAACATGCTTATTATGATAAATCTTTGACAGCCTCCATTAAAACGTTTCCATGAACTGGCAGAGGAAGGGGGTGTGGGGTGTGTGGTCCACCCCAGGTGTCATCCCTGAGGGGCCGCACGGACCTGATACGGCACCATTACCCTGCGCCTTCTATTCCCGCCAGCTCCTTCCGGCGGAGCATAACTATACCGTGTGGGAGCGGGAACTACTGGCCATCAAGGTGGCCTTTGAGGTCTGGTGCCACCATCTTGAGGGGGCACGACACCCGGTGGAGGTGAGAACTGACCACCAGAACCTGGAGTACCTCCAGACCACCTGCAAGCTGAACCAAAGGCAGATCCGGTGGGCGTTGTTCTTTTCCCGGTTCCAGTTCCGGATCCGCTACATCCCTAGCTCCCAAAACCAGAAGGCGGATGCCCTGTCCCGGAAACCTGAAGACATCGCAGACACGGTACAGCAAGCAGTACCAACCACGATCCTACCACCGGCTGCGTTCCTGGCCACTCAGGAGGCTGAGCCACTGCAGGCTCAGGTGTGGGAACAGCAGCGGGTCAACGCTTGGGCCCAGGAACGACTCCGGGAACTGGCCAAAGGGTCATGCCCTCAGTATCCGGGGCTGGTCTTGCACCAGGGCCTTCTGCTGCACCACGGTCGCCTGTACATCCCGCCAGGGCCACTGCAGGCTGAGGTTCTCCGGATGACCCATGATGCCCCAGCAGCGGGACACTTTGGGCGGTATCGGACCACCCATTTGGTAAGCCGTGAGTTTTGGTGGCCCCGCCTGAAGGCTGACGTGGCTCACTACGTCGCTGGTTGTGACGTCTGCTGGCGGGCCAAGGGCCCTACTGGGCGACCCCCGGCCTACTTCAGCCGTTGCCAGTCCCACCACGTCCTTGGCACACGGTTTCGCTGGACTTTGTAGTGGACTTACCCCTGTCTCGTGGCTGTACCTGCCTGCTGTTCCCGGATGTGTTGCCGGCATCTGCGGTCCCTGCAGTGACGGAGTGGCTCCAGGAGCTCCAGTCTCAGCAACAACTATTGATGGAGCAACTGTGCCAGGCCAAGGAGGCGTACAAGGCCCAGGCCGACCACCACCGCCAGGTGGGGCCAGAACTCCATGTCGGTGACCTAGTATGGCTCTCCACTCGCCACCTCCACCCCTCTCGACCTTCGCGGAAGCTGGACGCCCGTTTCACCGGCCCGTTTCCCATCGTGGACCAGGTCTCGCCTGTGGCATTCCGTCTCCGGTTGCCCGCAACCCTGAAGATTCACCCGGTATTCCACAGGTCCCTTCTGAGTCCGGTGGCCCCGCCCGACGAGTTCCACCCGAACCGTCCCCGACCGCAGCCAGTTTTGGTTCAGGGGGAGCCAGAGTACAAGGTGGAACACATTCTGGACTCCCGATACCACAGGGGAAAGCTGCAGTATCTCATAGACTGGAAGGGGTATGGACCTGAGGACCGTTCCTGGGAACCAGCAGCCAACGTCCACGCGCCTGCCTGCCTCCGTGATCCATGTGGCGTACCCCAGCAAGCCGGGTCCAGACCCTCGGTTGAGGGGGGGGCCTGGGAGGGGGGATGGTGTGATGGCCTGGGAATCCGATTCAGAGGCCGAACCAGAGGAACTCCAGCCTGCACAGGAGTCCCCGCCTCCAGGGCCGGCTGAGCTGGGGCAGGGCCTTGACTCTGAGGCACCTGCACCTGTGCCGGATCCTCAGGAGCAGGCACCAGGTGAATCTACTCTGGCTCCGGAGGTGGTTGAGGACTCAGTGCCTACAGGTGAGTCTCCCCCTGGGTCCAGTAACCCTTCAGCCTCTCCTGAACTGCAGAGGCTCAGGGCAGAGAGGCGGAGGGAACTGGTTTCTCCCAGGAGGAGTGCTCGCCTTAAGGCCAGGAGAGGCGGGTCTCCTGGGGGCCGGGACCACCCCTGGCCTCAGAGAAGATAAAGGCCAGTCAGCCCGGTCCCAGGTTGCGGGAGCAACGTCGTTGGAGAACTGTTTCGGCCAGGACCCAGCCCGGTTCCCCCAGAGTTCCTGTCCTTGCCCGGCTCCTCGCTATGGACCCTGCTTCGCCCGAGGAGGACTGTCTGCCAACCCTTGACTCAGGTCCTGGACCTCGCCCCACGGTAACCTCCCCCCCTGGACCAGCACACCATAAAGGCCAGCCAATTGAACCTGAGCACGGTTGGGAGGGGAGAGGAGTGATGGCTGCGTCATTGTCACCAGGGACAGCCAATAAATGCTCTGCACAGCCAGGATCTATTGGACTTCGATTCGGCTGCTCTTGACTTCGATTCATTTAAAAAGAGATAAATGTGAATTTATGCCAGGCACACTTCTCAGGATATGCACATCTGTACACAGCCTAAAAAGGAATTAGTCTACCACGGTCTTCTAAAGCTGTCCTGGCCTCTAAGGGATAAAGACAGCTTGTCTGTAGTTTGGTTTTGATGCTAAATCCAAAACTGTTTCTCTCCTTGTGTCTAAATTTAGTAATGAGGATATAATGGTGCAGTTTCCAAGCTTCTGTCTTCTTTATGCTGTAGGAAACTGCAGCTTAAAATTGTGTCAAATACTCAATATTAATTTGTCTAATCAAATAGATTTTCCGCTTCAAGGAATGTGGATCAGAGCCAACGTTGCTCTGAACATATGATAGCTCTAGACATCTATATTTCATTCCAGTTAGTTTGAGATATGTCTAAATCCTCACCATTTCTGAAGCTCAGTATTATTTCCTTTATGCTCTGTTGATGTATTTACCGATGAGCCAATGCCCCAGAGTTACGTATGTTTACTCAGAGGTAAATACCACTGAGTTCAATGGGGCTTATTCCCCAGTAAGTGCACATGGGGGAATTGAAGCTATACAGGGGAATCTATACCTGGAAATCTGGCAGCCTGCTTTCCTTCATTACTCAGAGGACAAGGAAGCTGCTAGCAATCCAATGCAGAGGGATTTATTTATTTTATTTAAAAATTAATCTTACCATTAATACTTCCGTCTAATGTTCAACCAAACTCCACCTTCCTGTAAGGTAGGCTCATTAGATGTAGTCCTAATGGACCAAAAAGCTGAGAACAGTTAAGGAATTAGACAGGGCAGGAACACTTACTTCTGGGTATTTCAGCTTAAAAAAATATATGGATGTAAATCTAAAAAGTAACCACCGCAGATTTCGCTGGAGTTGGCTTCCTTAAGAGTTCAGCTGGATCCACTCCTGTAGAATTTGCCAGATAGCTTGTAATTTTGTTTTAAATGTAGGGGAGAAAGAACAATGTGACAGTTATATTATTTTCTAATAAAATGTTTGTATCACTATTACTATTATTATAATCTTGTGGTGGTGGTAGTGATGAGCACTACTCTTGTTGGAGAGGTGGATCATAAATAAACTGACTCTCTTAGGCTCAAGAAGAAAAACCCAGAGTAGCAGATCTTTTTCTTTCTTTTTTAGCATGGTGCTGATAAAGCCAAGGTCGCAGGTTCAGTCCCCATATGGGACAGCTATATATTCCTGCATTGCAGGTGGTTAGACTAGATGATCCTCAGGGTCCCTTCTAACTCTACCTTCCTTCCTTCCTTCCTTCCTTCCTTCCTTCCTTCCTTCCTTCCTTCCTTTCGCTGTGATGTATTTATTATGTGACAAGAACTCCATCACAGTTTACTCCACGCATCTGTAGGAGAGCAGAGTCTCACCTGCATATACTACGAGGTAGAGACTTCACATATTAATTCACAAAACCCCATGCAAGATTAGCTTAGAAAGGAAGAAGGGAGAATTTAGGACACTGGTTCTTTGGGACACAGCTTCCAAAAGAGAAGAAATAATAAAACAAAATCAAAAGTCCCAGCACAATCTATAGGCTGCGCTGCTGGCTTTACCAAATTCCCTAAGGGCAGTGGCATATCATGGGAGGAACACAGGGGTGGTTGCCCCGGATGCAGATTTTGTTAGGGGTGCAAAATTTCAGCACCTGGCGCTGTTTCAGTACAACTTTGCGCTTCTGTCACTAGGCTCTGTTGAAAATAGCTTCTCCATGCGAACCAGGAAGTGACCTCTCCAGACAACGGAATGACTCTTCTTTTCTTAACTTTGCTGCTGTGATCTCCTGGGTGACACGGGTGCCTTAGGCAGTTGAATGTGCATGTGTACATTTCCCTCCCATGTGGTCTGGGGAATTGGCAACCCACTGTACGTCACTGCTTAAGGGTACCTCTCTTCCCTCAGAACGGAATAGTGCAGAGAGTGGCAACTCTTGAACTTGCTGGTGACGGAGAAGGGGAACCGACTTGCAGCCAGACTTCCGGGTTATCTGCTGTTGGGGAGGAGGGCTGAATTTGCGTAGCCTTGCGCCATCCTGCATGCCAAGATCATACAGTGGTGATTCGGCCATTGTGTGTGGGGTAGCAAAGTCCCTTAAAGAGCTGGGAGTCCAGAGAGAAATTCTTGATTACTGAGCAGTGCTCTGGGCATGGATGGCTGCAAGAAAGGACCACATGTTGTGTTTAAAACTTCAGAGCTGTTGCAGGTTACACGTGATGTATTCTAGAAATTTATTTAAAACAGCAACAACAACAACAACAACAAAAATAAACCTCATTTTAAGAATAGAGGCTTTTAGATATACTACTCCAAATTGTGATCACAGGCCTGCTTCAGAGAAATGTGGGGTGGTGTTTACCTCTTGAAAAGCAAGCTTCCCTCTCACCATCCATTTCTCTCTGCTCCAAGAAAACAGCCCCATGCTTCTTAACCTAATGACTTTCCGATATTCTCTCCCAATACCATGGGATAAAAACTGCCCCTCCCTTATTTTATCTGCTTCC